GCTGGGCTGGTACAAAACCCTGCACAACCAGTAGATCTCCAAGACTAGGGTTGGTGACCACTGCTCTAGTGACTAAAGCTATTTACAACCAGTAGATCTCCAAGACTAGGGTTGGTGACCACTGCTCTAGTGACTAAAGCTATTTACAACCAGTAGATCTCCAAGACTAAGGTTGGTGACCACAGCTCTAGTGACTAAAGCTATTTACAACCAGTAGATCACCAAGACTAGGGTTGGTGACCACAGTTTTAGTGACTAAAGCTATTTACAACAGCTGACTATTGACACAGAATGTAACTTTTCCCCTCAGTTACAGTGCTGATGAGAAAGAGGAAGAGATATTGAGTTTTAAGGAATAGTGATTTAAAAAACGGTGCTCTAATTCCGGCTCACGCTTTTAGGAAGTCTAGTCAAACAGATGGAATCTATGAAATCATTCTGAAACAAGACAAACAACAGCATTTAACAACCAACCACAGATCGGAAGGCTGGTGTGTGTGGGTTACTCACTCTGAATGAATCCTGAGTCTCTATATGCGTCTGTTATCACTGCAAAAGCTATATACAAGTGTTCTATTTCAAGTGTTTTCTAGTATCTGACTGATTGTCTAATTGACTGGTTGATTGATTGGTTAATTTGTTAATTTATGTCTGTTTTACATCATTCTAGGGTATAAACTACCTGGTAGAGAACAAGCTTCTGGAGAGGAATCCTCAGCCAATAGCAGAGTTCCTTTACAAGGAGGAGGGGCTCAATAAGACTGCTATAGGAGACTACCTGGGAGAGAGGTAGAGACATGATTGGATGATGATGATGATGGTGGTGATGATGATGAGGGTGGTTGTGGTAATGATGTTGATGATGATGGTGATGGTGGTGGTGATGAAGCGGTGGTGGCTGAGGGGAGAGGACAGAGGGAGAAAGATTTTCAAGGAGTTGGGAGATAATGAAGTCATTTCAATAATAATATTATGAAAGCTCTTGTAGTTAGTGCCTCTCCGTCTACTCAGTGTGCTTGTGTCTTTGCAGAGAAGAAATACACCTCCAGACACTGAAAGCCTTTGTGGATCTCCATGAGTTCTCAGACCTCAACCTGGTACAGGCATTGAGGTAGGTTTACGGACTATTCATCAACTAACCTTTCAATTCTCAGCTACAGTACCAGTCAAAAGTTTGGACACACCTACTCATTCAAGGGTTTTTCTTTATTTTTACTATTTTCTACATTGTAGAAGAATAGTGAAGACATCAAAACTATGAAATAACGCTTATGGAATCATGTAGTAACCAAAAAAGTGTTAAACAAATCAAAATATATTTTAGATTCTACAAAGTAGCCACCCTTTGTTTAACGCATTCTGTCAACCAGCTTCATGAGGAATGTTTTTCCAACAGTCTTGAAGGAGTTCCCAAATATGCTGAGCACTTGTTGGCTGCTTTTCCTTCACTCTGCGGTCCAACTCATTCCAAACCATCTCAATTGGGTTGAAGTTGGGTGATTGTGGAGGCCAGGTCATCTGATGCAGCACTCCATCATTCTCCTTGGTCAAATAGCCCTTACACAGCCTGGAGGTGTGTTTTGGGTCATTGTCCTGTTGAAAAACAAATGATAGCCCCATTAAACGCAAACCAGATGGGATGGCGTATCTCTGCAGAATGCTGTGGTAGCAATGCTGGTTAAGTGTGCCTTGAGTTCTAAATAAATCACAGACAGTGTCACCAGCAAAGCACGCCGACACCATCACACCTCCTCCTCCATGCTTCACTGTGGGAACCACACATGCAGAGATCATCTGTCACGATCGTCGTAAGAAGTGGACCAAGGCGCAGCGTGATATGCGTACATCTTTTAATGAGTACTTTACATAACCATAACAAAACAACAAAACGATAACGTGAAGTCCTAAGGTTAACAAACACAAACCTCTCCGGAACAAGATCCCACAAATGACAAGTGCAAAACAGGCTGCCTAAGTATGGTTCCCAATCAGAGACAACAAGCCACAGCTGCCTCTGATTGGGAACCACCCCGGCCAACATAGAAACACATGCCTGCCTTTGACACCATCGATCACCACATTCTTTTGGAGAGACTGGAAACCCAAATTGGTCTACACGGACAAGTTCTGGCCTGGTTTAGATCCTACCTGTCGGAAAGATATCAGTTTGTCTCTGTGAATGGTCTGTCCTCCGACAAATCAACTGTACATTTCGGTGTTCCTCAAGGTTCCGTTTTAGGACCACTATTGTTTTCACTATATATTTTACCTCTTGGGGATGTTATTCGAAAACATAATGTTAACTTTCACTGCTATGCGGATGACACACAGCTGTACATTTCAATGAAGCATGGTGAAGCCCCAAAATTGCCCTCGCTAGAAGCCTGTGTTTCAGACATAAGGAAGTGGATGGCTGAAAACTTTTTACTTTTAAACTCGGACAAAACAGAGATGCTTGTTCTAGGTCCCAAGAAACAAAGAGATCTTCTGTTAAATCTGACAATTCATCTTGATGGTTGTAAAGTCGTCTCAAATAAAACTGTGAAGGACCTTGGCGTTACTCTTGACCCTGATCTCTCTTTTGACGAACATATCAAGACTGTTTCAAGGACAGCTTTTTTCCATCTACGTAACATTGCAAAAATCAGAAATGTTCTGTCCAAAAATGATGCAGAAAAATTAATCCATGCATTTGTTACTTCTAGGTTAGACTACTGCAATGCTCTATTTTCCGGCTATAAAGCACTAAATAAACTTCAGTTAGTGCTAAATACGGCTGCTAGAATCCTGACTAGAACCAAGAAATTTGATCATATTACTCCAGTGCTAGCTTCCCTACACTGGCTTCCTGTTAAGGCAAGGGCTGATTTCAAGGTTTTACTGTTAACCTATAAAGCGTTACATGGGCTTGCTCCTACCTATCTTTCCGAGTTGGTCCTGCCGTACATACCAATACGTACGCTACGGTCACAAGACGCAGGCCTCCTAATTGTCCCTAGAATTTCTAAGCAAACAGCGGGAGGCAGGGCTTTCTCCTATAGATCTCAATTTTTATGGAACAGTCTGCCTACCCATGTGAGAGACGCAGACTCGGTCTCAACCTTTAAGTCTTTACTGAAGACTTATCTCTTCAGTAGGTCATATGATTGAGTGTAGTCTGGCCCAGGAGTGTGAAGGTGAACGGAAAGGCTGGAGCAACGAACAGCCCTTGCTGTCTCTGCCAGGCCGGTTCCCCTCTCCACTGGGGTTCTCTGCCTCTAACCCTGTTGCAGGGGCTGAGTCACTGGCTTGCTGGTGCTCTTTCATGCCGTCCCTGGGAGGGGTGCGTCACTTGAGTGGGTTGAGTTACTGACGTGATCTTCCTGTCTGGGTTGGCGCCCCCCCCTTGGTTTGTGCTGTGGTGGAGACCTCTGTGGGCTATACTCGGCCTTGTCTCAGGATTGTAAGTTGGTGGTTGGGGATATCCCTCTAGTGGTGCGGGGGCTGTGCTTTGGCGGAGTGGGTGGGGTTATATCCTTCCTGTTTGGCCCTGTCCGGGGGTTTCTTCGGATGGGGCCACAGTGTCTCCGGACCGCTCCTGTCTCAGCCTCCAGTATTTATGCTGCAGTAGTTTATGTGTCGGGGGGCTGGGGTTAGTTGGTTATACCTGGAGTACTTCTCCTGTCTTATCCAGTGTCCTGTGTGAATTTAAGTATGCTCTCTCTAATTCTCTCGTTCTCTCTTTCTCTCTGAGAACCTGAGCCCTAGGACCATACGTCAGGACTACCGGGCATGATGACACCTTGCTGTCCCCAGTCCGCCTGGCCTTGCTGCTATTCCAGTTTCAACTGTTCTGCCTGCGGCTACGAAACCCCTACCTGTCCCAGACCTGCTGTTTTCAACTCTTAATGATCGGCTATGAAAAGCCAACTGAGAGACCTGAGCCCTAGGACCATACGTCGGGACTACCGGCCGTGGTGACTCCTTGCTGTCCCCAGTCCGCCTGGCCTTGCTGCTATTCCAGTTTAAACTGTTTTGCCTGCGGTTATGGAACCCCTACCTGTCCCAGACCTGCTGTTTTCAACTCTTAATGATCGGCTATGAAAAGCCAACTGAGATTTATTCCTGATTATTATTTGACCATGCTTGTCACTTATGAACATTTTTGAACATCTTGGCATGGTTCTGTTATAATCTCCACCCGGCACAGCCAGAAGAGGACTGGCCACCCCTCATAGCCTGGTTCCTCTCTAGGTTTCTTCCTAGGTTTTCGCCTTTCTAGGGAGTTTTTCCTAGCCACCGTGCTTCTACACCTGCATTACTAGCTGTTTGGGGTTTTAGGCTGGGTTTCTGTACAGCACTTCGAGATATTAGCTGATGTAAGAAGGGCTATATAAAATAAAATTGATTGATTGATTGATGATGAACTAGAACATGAACATAGAACACTAAACATAGAAACTAACACCCTGGCTCAACATATAAGAGTCCCCAGAGCCAGGGCGTGACAGTACCCCCCCCCCCCCCCCCCCCCCCAAAGGCGCGGACTACGACTGCGCCAACTAAACCCAACAGGGGAGGGGCCGGGTGGGCATTCCGCCTCGGAGGCGGATCCGGCTCCGGGCGTGACCACCACTCTCTAGCTACCCCCCCGTAGCGCCCCTGGTCTGGTCCCGCTGGCTGGAGCTGGACTGGACATCGGTGGAGCAGATTGCTTTGGCTCCGGTGTGGAGCAGCTGACCGGTGCCGGACCAGGCACTGGTGGAACAGGCACGGACCGTGCCGGACTGACGACGCGCACCACTGGCTTGGTGCGGGGAGCAGGAACAGGCCGGACCGGGCTGGGGACGCGCACCACTGGCTTGGTGCGGGGAGCAGGAACAGGCCGGACCGGGCTGGCGACGCGCACCATTGGCTTGGTGCGGGGAGCAGGAACAGGCCGGACCGGGCTGGCGACACGCACCATTGGCTTGGTGCGGGGAGCAGGAACGGGTCGGGCCGTACTGGGAACACACACCACTAACTTAGTGCGGGGAGCAGGAACGGGTTGGGCCGTACTGGGAACACGCACCACTAACTTAGTGCGGGGAGCAGGAACGGGTTGGGCCGTACTGGGAACACGCACCACTAACTTAGTGCGGGGAGCAGGAACGGGTTTGGCCGTACTGGGAACACGCACCACTAACTTAGTGCGGGGAGCAGGAACGGGCCGGACCGTACTGGGTACACACACCACTGGCCTTGTGCGGGAAGCAGGAACGGGTCGGGCCGTACTGGGAACACGCACCACTGGCTTAGTGCGGGGAGCAGGAACGGGTCGGGCCGTACTGGGAACACGCACCACTGGCTTAGTGCGGGGAGCAGGAACGGGCCGGACCGTACTGGGAACACACACCACTGGCCTTGTGCGGGAAGCAGGAACGAGTCGGGCCGTACTGGGAACACGCACCACTAACTTAGTGCGGGGTCAGGAACGGGCCGGACCGGACTGGCGACGCGCACCATTGGCTTGGTGCGGGGAGCAGGAACAGGCCGGACCGGGCTGGCGACACGCACCATTGGCTTGGTGCGGGGAGCAGGAACGGGTCGGGCCGTACTGGGAACACACACCACTAACTTAGTGCGGGGAGCAGGAACGGGTTGGGCCGTACTGGGAACACGCACCACTAACTTAGTGCGGGGAGCAGGAACGGGTTGGGCCGTACTGGGAACACGCACCACTAACTTAGTGCGGGGAGCAGGAACGGGTTGGGCCGTACTGGGAACACGCACCACTAACTTAGTGCGGGGAGCAGGAACGGGTTGGGCCGTACTGGGAACACGCACCACTAACTTAGTGCGGGGAGCAGGAACGGGTTTGGCCGTACTGGGAACACGCACCACTAACTTAGTGCGGGGAGCAGGAACGGGCCGGACCGTACTGGGTACACACACCACTGGCCTTGTGCGGGAAGCAGGAACGGGTCGGGCCGTACTGGGAACACGCACCACTGGCTTAGTGCGGGGAGCAGGAACGGGTCGGGCCGTACTGGGAACACGCACCACTGGCTTAGTGCGGGGAGCAGGAACGGGCCGGACCGTACTGGGAACACACACCACTGGCCTTGTGCGGGAAGCAGGAACGAGTCGGGCCGTACTGGGAACACGCACCACTAACTTAGTGCGGGGTCAGGAACGGGCCGGACCGGACTGGTAACACACACCACTTGCTTGGTGCGAGGAACGGGACTGGGTTTCCTCATAAACCTCCGCTCCCTCTGCTGCCTAACCAGTTCCTCTCGCCGTGCCTCTACACTCTCCTTCTCCCTTATCGCCTCCAGTAGCTCCTCCCTCTGACCAACTAACTCCTGCTCCCTCATGACCAATAGCCCCCGTAACCTGGTGGCCTCCTCTCCTATTCTGCAGATTCGCCCTGTAGCTGCCTCCTGCTGCCCCGTCGTCCATGCCGTGTGACCCCCCCCAAAAAATTATTGGGGTTGCCTCTCGCCTGTCCGACGACGGCCCGGTTGGCGCCGCTTCTCCTCTCCTGCCTGGGTCTCCCCATTCATCGCCCTCCGGTAACGGACGGCCTCCTCCTCGGTGATCTTCCCCCAACCGAGGAGGACATCCACTAGCGTTACCTCCGGCGTTTGCTCCTGGACACGCTGCTTGGTCCTTATTTGGTGGGATCTTCTGTCACGATCGTTATAAGAAGTGGACCAAGGCGCAGCGTGATATGCGTACATCTTTTAATGAGTACTTTACATAACCATAACAAAACAACAAAACGATAATGTGAAGTCCTAAGGTTAACAAACACAAACCTCTCCGGAACAAGATCCCACAAATGACAAGTGCAAAACAGGCTGCCTAAGTATGGTTCCCAATCAGAGACAACAAGCCACAGCTGCCTCTGATTGGGAACCACCCTGGCCAACATAGAAACACATGAACTAGAACATGAACATAGAACACTAAACATAGAAACTAACACCCTGGCTCAACATATAAGAGTCCCCAGAGCCAGGGCGTGACATCATCCGTTCACCTACTCTGCGTCTCACAAAGACACAGCGGTTGGAATCAAAAATCTCAAATTCTGACTCATCAGACCAAAGGACAGATTTCCACCAGTCTAATGTCCATTGCTCGTGTTTCTTGGCCCAAGCAAGTGTCTTCTTCTTCTTGGTGTCCTTTAGTAGTGGTTTCTTTCCAGCAATTCGACCATGAAGGCCTGATTCACGCAGTCTCCTCTGAACAGTTGATGTTGAGATGTGTCTGTCACTTGAACTCTGTGAAGCATTTATTTGGGCTGCAATTTCTGAGGCTGATAACTCTAATGAACTTATCCTCTGCAGCAGAGGTAACTCTGGGTCTTCCTTTCCTGTGGTGGTCCTCATGAGAGCCAGTTTCATCATAGCGCTTGATGGTTTTTACGACTGCACTTGAATAAACTTTTAAAGTTGTCTTAAAGTAATGATGGACTGTCGTTTCTCTTTGCTTATTTGAGCTGTTCTTGCCATAATATGGACTTGGTCTTTTACCAAATAGGGCTATCTTCTGTATACCACCCCTACCTTGTCACAACACAACTGATTGGCTCAAACGCATTAAGAAATAAAGAAATTCCACAAATTAACTTTTATCAAGGCACACCTGTTAATTTAAATGCATTCCAGGTGACTACCTCATGAAGCTGGTTGAGAGAATGCCAAGAGTGTGCAAAGCTGTCATCAAGGCAAAGGGTGGCTACTTTGAAGAATCTCAAATATAAAATTTGTTTAACACTTTTTTGGTTACTACATGATTCCATATGTGTTATTTTATAGTTTTGATGTCTTCACTATTATTCTACAATGTAGAAAATAGTAAAAATAAAGAAAAACCCTTGAATGAGTAGGTGTGTCCAAACTTTTGACTGGTACTGTATGTTAAAATAACATTAGGTCTAGAATACATTTGGTCAAATAACTGTATATGACTTGGGCTGAAGTTGTAGACTCATCTGAAGGCAGAACACAGGAGCTCTGTGAGCCTGACTGGTCTGAACCCCCTGTCTGAATGTCTGTCTGAATGTCTCAGGCAGTTCCTGTGGAGTTTCCGTCTGCCCGGCGAGGCTCAGAAGATTGACCGCATGATGGAAACCTTCGCCACACGCTACTGTGACTGTAACGCTGAAGTCTTTCAGTCTACAGGTGTGTGTGTGTGTGTGTGTACATGTATTTCCCTGAAATCACAATTACAACTCTCTGTATAATGTATATGGCTATATTTCTCTGTGTTCCCTCAGACACCTGCTACATCCTGTCGTTTGCCATCATCATGTTGAACACCAGCCTCCACAACCCCAACGTGAAGGACAAGACCCCTCTAGAGAGATTCATCTCTATGAACAGAGGCATCAACAACGGAGGGGACCTGCCCAATGAGCTGCTCACGGTGAGACACAACAGCCAATCAGAGAGGCCACATAGGTCACATGATCAGGAAGTAGTAGTTAATTGACCAATGAGATGTTCATGGTGAGACACACCGGACAATCGCAGTGTTCGTATAGGTCACATGACCCTGAAGTATTGGGATTGGCCGCTATCTGGCTATGTGGTTTGGTTTATTTGGTTTGAATTCAACCTTGATGGCAGTGGAAAGCTGTAGTTGTATAAAAAATAAAATATATAAATACATATCAAACCAGGAAATGACCCTTACCTCATCAGCTGGCTTCTCTGCTGTCTCCCCCTTCAGAAACTGTATGAAAGCATCAGGAACGAGCCCTTTAAAATCCCAGTGGATGATGGGAACGACCTGACTCACACATTCTTCAACCCCGACAGGGAGGGATGGCTCCTCAAACTAGGTAACTAATTGTGTGGTGTTCATGATTTTGTTATTCACCCAATGTTCGCGGGTCTGATGGACCCACAACATTATTGGGTTTTTAAAACAATACAGCCATAACAATTTACGTAAAAATACTTAATACTTAATACTTAGATGTTGACTTAGATCAATTACAAGCAATATAGACAGCATACATGGTTAATATTTGCCATTTACCAATGTTAGATCACATTGATCAATAATAGCGCTATTCGTTTTTTTTTTATAACAGTTGATTTTTGTAAACAAAAATCAATTATAATCAAGACATGGGTGGAATAAATCATGTTTATCTTGAACAAATATAAATGAAACAAGGTTTTCATCACTATTGATGTTTATTGTTTTGAACTGAACAAATTGGAAGGACACATTTTAATGTATTGAAATAATGTATTGTAATAACATTGTGCAGGTTCGCGCAAGACATTGTGAGGTTTCACATACTACAAAGGGTAAAGAGTTGGAGAAAAGCGGGAGACAGGCAGACAGGCAGGGAGACAGACAGACAGGCAGGGAGACAGGCAGACAGGCAGGGAGACAGGCAGGGAGACAGGCAGACAGGCAGGGAGACAGGCAGACAGGCAGACAGGCAGGGAGACAGACAGGTTGTTGGTGCTATGTTGAAACAGCAGGTCTAGGGAGGTGAAGGCACACAGCAAACCTTTTTGTTTCATTTTTACTTGTTTTCACCTACACACACACTTTTCCACACTTTTATTACCCTCGGGTCCAGTGGACCTGAACAGCACATATGTAATATAAATGTGTAGGGGGGTGCACAGTGTGCTCTCAATTAAAATGTGTTATTTTACATGTTCTTCACAGAAAATGAGCCAAGGCCAATGAGTCTCAGGTTCTTTTAGTAAACATTGAAAATAGGTCCCACAGACCCGAACACGACACAAGGGTTAAAAGGATGTCAAAGCAACATGTACTTGAATACTTTGCTTCATTTGCAGTTGGCTGTTGCCTATCTATAATGACTCTATTTGGTTCTCCAGGAGGCAGAGTGAAGACGTGGAAGAGAAGATGGTTCATTCTGACTGACAACTGTCTCTACTACTTTGAGTTCACCACTGTAAGTCTCTCCTACCTGTCTACTCCTCCATCTCCATCCCTCTCTCAATCTCCATCCCTCTCTCAATCTCCATCCCTCTCTCCATCTCCATCCCTCTCTCCATCTCCATCCCTCTCTCAATCTCCATCCCTCTCTCTATCTCCATACCTCTCTCTATCTCCATCCCTCTCTCCATCTCCAACCTCTCTCCATCTCCAAACCTCTCTCTATCTCCATCCCTCTCTCCATCTCCAAACCTCTCTCTATCTCCAAACCTCTCTCTATCTCCATACCTCTCTCTATCTCCATCCCTCTCTCCATCTCCATCCCTCTCTCCATCTCCATCCCTCTCTCAATCTCCATCCCTCTCTCTATCTCCATACCTCTCTCTATCTCCATACCTCTCTCTATCTCCATCCCTCTCTCCATCTCTATCCCTCTCTCAATCTCCATCCCTCTCTCTATCTCCATACCTCTCTCTATCTCCATCCCTCTCTCCATCTCCATCCCTCTCTCAATCTCCATCCCTCTCTCTATCTCCATACCTCTCTCTATCTCCATACCTCTCTCTATCTCCATCCCTCTCTCCATCTCCATACCTCTCCATACCTCCTTTAAGTTCATATGTCGCTCTCCATCTCTCCCAACTTTCCACATCCATCTCCTACCCTCTCCTCCCTTCTTCCCTCCTTCCCCCCTTCCCTCTACTGTAACTCCCTCCATCCCTCCCTCTCTAAACTCCTTCCTCTAACCTCATCTCTCTGTACAGGACAAGGAGCCCAGAGGCATCATCCCTCTAGAGAACCTGTGTGTGAGAGAGATGGTGTATGGACGCAAACCAGTAAGAAACTATACTCATCCTTTAGGTCAACTAGATTCAGCCATGGGACGATTTTGTTTGGAGCGGATGGTTGGGAGGCCGGGACAGAATTATAATAATTTGTACACTGCAAATTGAACACAACTAAGCCCAAAAATACCTTGATTACAGAGACATATGCCTCTTTTTTTATTTGTGGGAATACTTGGGAACCCATTTCCTAAATTAAAGAAATGTAATTCATTTAGCTGAATTCCTGGTGATTTTATTGTTGTTTTTGACCAAAAAAACGGTTTTGGGCCGCCTGTTACCAACCCCTGCTTTAGTGTGTGTTGTGTGTGTTGTGTGTGTGTGTGTGTGTGTGTGTGTGTGTGTGTGTGTGTGTGTGTGTGTGTGTGTGTGTGAGAGAGAGAGAGGCCCTAAACAGAGAGGACACAGTGACAGAATGCCTGACCACTGTGACTGACCCAAACTTAAGGAAAGCGTTGACTATGTACAGACTCAGTGAGCATAGCCTTGCTATTGAGAAAGGCCGCTGTAGGCAGACCTGGCTCTCAAGAGAAGACAGGCTATGTGCACACTGCCCACAAAAGGAGGTGGAAACTGAGCTGCACTTCCTAACCTCCTGCCAAATGTATGACCATATTAGAGACACATATTTCCCTCAGATTACACAGACCCACAAAGAATTACAAAACAAACCCAATTTTACCACAGTGTGCAATCACAGCAGCAATATTTGTGACCTGTTACCACAAGAAAAGGGCAACCAGTGAAGAACAAACACCACTGTAAATACAACCCATATTTATGTTTATTTATTTTCCCTTTCCTACTTTAACTATTTGCACATAATATGACATTTAGAATGTCTTTATTCTTTTAGAACTTTTGTGAGTGCAATGTTTACTGTCAATTTTTATTGTTTATTTCACTTTTATTTATTATCTACTTCACTTGCAATGTTAACATATGTTTCCCATGCCAATAAAGCCCTTAAATTGAATTGAATTGAGAGAGAGAGAGAGAGAGAGAAGAGAGAGAGAGGAAGAGGAGAGAGAGAGAGAGAGAGAGAGAGAGAGAGAGAGAGAGAGAGAGAGAGAGAGAGAAAACCAGTAAGAATATACTACTCACTCTTACAGAATATCATCCTTCTCTGTGATTGATGATTGCTCATGTCTGTCTCTTTGTGTTCCTCAGTACTGTCTGGAGCTGTATAACCCCAACAGCAGGGGTCAGAAGATCAAGGCTTGCAAGACAGAGACAGACGGCAGAGTGGTGGAGGGGAAACACCAGTCATACATGATCTGTGCCGCTACCGCTGACGAACGAGACACATGGATAGAGAGCATCCGGTACTTAGAACACATGGAGAATACACACCAGTGGAGGCTGGTGGGAGGAGCTGTAGGAGGACGAGCTCATTGTATTGACTGGAATGGAATATATGTAACGGAGTCCAACATGTGGTTTCCCATGTGTTTTGATGTGTTTGATACCGTTCCATTTATACCATTCCAGCCATTACAATGAGCCTGTCCTCCTACAGCTCCTCCCACAGACACACTCACAGACACACACACACACTACTCTCTTAATACGTGTTAAGTAAAAAAATAAAAAATAAAAATAAAAACAAATAATTAAAGAGCAGCAGTAAAATAACAGTAGGGAGGCTATATACAGGGGGTACCGGTACAGAGTCAATGTGCGGGGGCACAGGTTAGTCGAGGTAATTGAGGTAATATGTACATGTAGGTAGAGTTAAAGTGACTATGCATAGATAATAAACAGAGAGTAGCAGCAGCGTAAAAGAGGGGGTGTGGGGGGTGCAATGCAAATAGTCCGGGTAGCCATTTCATTAGCTGTTCAGGAGTCTTATGGCTTGGGGGTAGAAGCTGTTAAGCCTTTTGGACCTAGACTTGGCGCTCCGGTACTGCTTGCCATGCAGTAGCAGAGAGAACAGTCTATGACTAGGGTGGCTGGAATCTTTGACAATTTTTAGGGCCTTCCTCTGACACCGCCTGGTATAGAGGTCCTGGATGGCAGGAAGCTTGGCCCCAGTGATGTACTGGGCCGTACGCACTACCCTCTGTAGTGCCTTGCGGTCGGAGGCCGAGCAGTTGCCATACCAAGCAGTGAAGCAACCAGTCAGGATGCTCTTCATTGTGCAGCTGTATAACTTTTTGAGGATCTGAGGACCCATGCCAAATATTTTCAGTCTCCTGAGGGGGAATAGGCTTTGTCGTGCCCTCTGCACAACTGTCTTGGTGTGCAGAGGTCACGGTCCTCCTTTTCCTGTAGTCCACAATCATCTCCTTTGTCTTGATCAGTTGAGGGAGAGGTTGTTATCCTGGCACCACACGGCCAGGTCTCTGACCTCCCAATAGGCTGTCTCATCGTTGTCGGTGATCAGGCCTACCACTGTTGTGTCGTCGGCAAACTTAATGATGGTGTTGGAGTCGTGCCTGGCCATGCAGTCATGGGTGAACAGGGAGTACAGGAAGGGACTGAGCACGCACCCCTGAGGGGCCCCAGTGTTGAGGATCAGCGTGGCAGATGTGTTGTTGCCTACCCTTACCACCTGGGGGCGGCCTGTCAGGAAGTCCAGGATCCAGTTGCAGAGGGAAGTGTTTAGTCCCACGGTCCTTAGCTTAGTGATGAGCTTTGAGGGCACTATGGTGTTGAACGCTGAGCTGTAGTCAATGAATAGCATTCTCACGTAGGTGTTATTTTTGTCGAGGTGGGAAAGGGCACTGTGGAGTGCAATAGAGATTGCATCATCTGTGGATCTGTTGGGGCGGTATGCAAATTGGAGTGGGTCTAGGGTTTCTGGGATAATGGTGTTGATGTGAGCCATGACCAGCCTTTCAAAGCACTTCATGGCTACAGACGTGAGTGCTACGGGTCTGTAGTCATTTAGGCAGGTTACCTTAGTGTTCTTGGGCACAGGGACTATGGTGGTCTGCTTGAAACATGTTGGTATTTCAGACTCAGTCAAGGACAGGTTGATAATGTCAGTGAAGACACTGAGTACACGTCCTGGTAATCCATCTGGACATGCGGCCTTGTGAATGTTGACCTGTTTAAAGGTCTTTACTCACATCGGCTACGGAGAGCGTGATCACACAGTTGTCCGGAACAGCTGATGCTCTCATGCATGCTTCAGTGTTGCTTGCCTCAAAGCGAGCGTAGAAGTAATTTAGCTCGTCTGGTAGGTTCGTGTCACTGGGCAGCTCACGGCTGTGCTTCCCTTTGTAGTCTGTAATAGTTTGCAAGCCCTGCCACATCTGACGAGCGTCGGAGCCGGTGTAGTACGATTCAATCTGTATTGACGCTTTGCCTGTTTGATGGTTCGTCAGAGGGCATAGCGGGATTTCTTATAAGCGTCCGGGTTAGAGTCCCGTTCCTTGAAAGCGGCAGCTCTACCCTTTAGCTCAGTGCGGATGTTGCCTGTAATCCATGGCTTCTGGTTGGGGTATGTACGTACGGTCACTGTGGGGACAACGTCATCGATGCACTTATTGATGGAGCCAGTGACTGATGTGGTGTACTCCTCAATGCCATCGGAAGAATCCCGGAACATATTCCAGTCTGTGCTAGCAAAACAGTCCTGTAGCTTAGCATCTGCGTCATCTGACCACTTCTTTATTGACCGAGTCACTGGTGCTTCCTGCTTTAGTTTTTGCTTGTAAGCAGGAATCAGGAGGATAGAATTATGGTCAGATTTGCCAAATGGAGGGTGAGGGAGATCTTTGTACACGTCTCTGTGTGTGGAGTAAAGGTGGTCTAGAGTTTAATTTCCTCTGGTTGCACATTTAACAAGCTGGTAGAAATTATGTAAAACGGATTTAAGTTTCCCTGCATTAAAGTCCCCGGCCACTAGGAGCGCCGCCTCTGGATGAGCGTTTTCCTGTCTGAAGTAAATCCTTCACGTCCGACTCGTTAAATAAAAAATCTTCATCCAGTACAAGGTGAGTAATCGCTGTCCTGATATCCAGAAGCTCTTTCGTTCATAAGAGACAGTGGAGGAAACATTATGTACAAAATAAGTTACAAATAACGTGAAAAAACACACAATAGCACAATTGGTTAGGAGCCCGTAAAACGGCAACCATCTCCTCCGGCGCCATTGCAGTACATGCCAGAATGTCGCGATTCAAAACCAAAGTTTGCAGGCAAAACCTTTGCAGTGGTTTTAGTTAAGGTAGTTTGCTCTCCATCTTGCTAGCTACTATTTAGTATTTGATTGAAGCGGATAGAGCAGTGACGTAGGCGTTGACGTACTGTAGTTCCTCTATGTTGCTTAGGGTGGAGTTGTGTAGGCTACACACGCTCTCACAACACCATTAACAACCCACCATCCTGTTATCACACGTTACAGAGCCAGCATCACCAAGGACCCGTTCTATGACCTGGTGTCGGTCCGTAAGAAGAAGGTGATCAACCAGGCTCCCCAAGACTGAGACAGGACAGCACCCCCTGTGGATCAATCACAGTACTGCATCACAGATGGAGATGGAACCCCTACAACAAATAGCACAGTCAATGGACTTTGGTTCAGTTGAACTGACTAAGCATTGGGAACCTGGACACTTTCAACAGTGAGAATGAGGACTTTCTAACTTAGAAAGGAACTTTTGTCATAATGAGAATTGAGGGAATTTTTTGTTGTTGCAAGAAGAGTCCTGAGAAGACTGCTGGGGGGAAGACTGACTTGGACTTTTGTCAGGATTAAAAGGGTGGAACTGTGTACTGTCTGGAAGAGTGACTTCTCATTTTGAACCACACCGTGTCAAAGGACTTCCTTCTTATCCTGTGAGATGAAATAATGTCATTGTCAATAACTGTCAACGTGACCTATAAATACCGTTTGTTGATAAGGTGACAGAAGCGAAGCCAAAAGAGCGGTTTCTCATGTGTACATAAGGCAGATAGATACGACCTCAAGCATGGCTAATTCCACCTACTGTCCTTGTATGACTCTATGATTGTGTCCCAAATGGTGCTCTATTCTCTATATAGTGCACTACTTTCAACCAGAGCCTTATGGACCCTGGTCAAAAGTGGTGCACTAAATAGGGAATAGGGTGCCATTTGAAACGCGGGCCCTTGTCTCTGTATTATTACCAGACCACACCGGTCTGTTGTGACTCCTAGTCTGTCTGCTGTTATAAGTATGGTTTATCATACCTGTTCTATCTTCTGGACGTACATCATGTAAATAGATACCACCTCAAACATTGCTAGCTTCACCAACTGCACTAGGGCGGCAGGTAGCCTAGTGGTTAAGAGTATTGGGCCAGTAACCACGAGGCTGCTGGTTCGAATCCCCGAGCCGCCTAGGTGACAAATCTGTTGATGTGCCCTTGAGCAAGGCACTTAACCCATAATGCTCCTGTAAGTTGCTCTGGATAAGCGTGCCTGCTAAATGACTGAAATATATTTGTCTCTGTATGCTAATACTGTAGAGAGGATCTCTGAGTCTCCTGGTTATTGTATCTGTTCTATCCACTATGTCTATAGATGATAATGCATTGGTGAGAGAGAGAAACCATCACATCTCACCAGGAAGTCAACACAGTATTTATATCATAGAGATAGCATACAAACACACAAAGAACTCTTCTGTCACCGTCACGCCATACAAGCACCAAACACACAGAACTCTTCTGTCACCGTCACGCCATACAAGCACCAAACACATACAGAAATGCTGTTACTCTAGGACATATAATGCAATATTTTGGGAGTACATATGCTGAATTATTGTCTCTACCATGTTTTTCTATTCATGTTTTATTTTTACTCGTTCTTTAATTGTTAAATTGATTATTTAATAAATGCCATATAAAGGCCATTGTGGACATGTCAGATTACTTTGGGTGGTAGTTGCCTGTAAGCACAGATCTAGAATCAGCTCCCTCTCTCCCAGTCCTATTCTCAACCATCAGAGAGTTCATGTTAAACTGACTTTAGATCATAAAGGTTTAATAAAGGTTAAATAAATAAATAAAAATAAGAAAGATCAGTGGTCAGGGGCAATTCCACCCTACTGAGAGCAGCCAGTCCTGTTTTCAGTCAGAAGGAAAGGGACACCTGCAAGTTCCAGTTGAACACACACACACAGAAAAAAACACAGGTTCCTCTATCTCTCACTTCCTCTTACTGTTTGTTGCATGTGTGTGCGTGTACGACACTGATCTCTATAGAGAAGTGACCCCTGCCGGTGGTGTTTGGAACAACACACTAGAAAATAGGACCATCTCTCATCTCCTCATCTGACAAAACTAACAGTGGTATAACCCAACCTCCTTATCCGTTTTCTAATGGACATAACATATTGTCTCATACCATTATGGTTTTGTCTTGTATTGAGAAAACTTAAAACAAACTTTGAGTCTGTAGCAATGGTATAGCCAAGTTATTATCTTATGATTATTATAGGTCTACATTAATGAGTCAAAGGCTAATGACTGGTATGCAAAAATATTCCTACAGGTGTTTAAAACCTCAGTGGTCCCTTTGTGTTTCTAATGATCCAGGGTGTAGTTTCACCTTGGTACAGATCTAGGATCAGCTTCCCCTCCCCCAATCCTAACATTAACCATTAGTGGGGGGAAATGCCAAACTGACCCCAGATCAGCGTTTATGTTGGGGCAGTGTTGAACGAACAGTGGTCTTTAGTCATCAACACCTCTCATCGCCTTCCTGTGTGCCTCTGTACTTCCTGTTTTAGTGTGTCGCCACCACACATCTGCCACACTGATCCTCAACACGGGGGCCCCTCAGGGGTGCGTGCTCAGTCCCCTCCTGTACTCTCTGTTCACCCATGACTGCATGGCCAGGCACGACTCCAACACCATCATTAAGTTTGCCAACGACACAACAGTGGTAGGCCTCATCACCGACAACGATGAGACAGCCTATAGGGAGGAGGTCAGAGATCTGGCCGTGTGGTGCCAGGACAACAACCTCTCCCTCAGCGTGACCAAGACAAAGGAGATGATTGTGGACTACAGGAAAAAAAAGAGGACTGAGCACGCCCCCATTCTCATCGACGGGGCTGTAGTGGAACAGGTTGAGAGCTTGAAGTTCCTTGGTGTCCACATCACCAACGAACTATCATGGTCCAAACACACCAAGACAGTCGTGAAGAGGGCACGACAAAGCCTATTCCCCCTCAGGAGACTAAAAAGATTTGGCATGGGTCCTCAGATCCTCAAAAAATTCTACCGCTGCACCATCGAGAGCATCCTGACTGGTTGCATCACCGCCTGGTATGGCAACTGCTTGGCCTCCGACCGCAAGGCACTACAGAGGGTAGTGCGTACGGCCCAGTACATTACTGGGGCAAAGCTTCCTGCCATCCAGGACCTCTATACCAGGCGGTGTCAGAGGAAGGCCCTCAAAATTGTCAAAGACTCCAGCCACCCTAGTCATAGACTGTTCTCTCTGCTACCGCACGGCAAGCGGTACCGGAGTGCCAAGTCTAGGTCCAAAAGACTTCTCAACAGCTTCTACCCCCAAGCCATAAGACTCCTGAACAGCTAATCATGGCTACCCGGACTATTTGCACTGCCCCCCCACCCCATCCTTTTTACGCTGCTGCTACTCTGTTAATTATTTATGCATAGTCACTTTAACTCTACCCACATGTACATATTACCTCAACTACCTCAACTAGCCGGTGCACCCGCACATTGACTCTGCAACGGTACCCCCCTGTCACGCTCTGGCTCCGGGACTCTGTATGTTGAGCCAGGGTGTGTTCGTTCTGTGTGGGTTGTTTCTATGTAGGGTTTTCTAGGTTGTTGTTTTCTGTGTTGGCCTAAGTGACTCCCAATCAGAGGCAACGAGTGTCAGCTGTTTTCTGGTTGTCTCTGATTGGGAGCCATATTTAAACTGTCTGTTTTCACTTTGTGGTTGTGGTTTCTTGTTCCTTTTGGTTTTTGTGTATCTAAGGACTTCACGTTTCGTTCGTTGTTTTGATCGTGTGATCTGTTTAATAAATAATATGTACGCATTCAACGCTGCGCCTTGGCCCGCTTCATTTCAAGACGATCGTGACACCCCCTGTATATAGCCTCCCTACTGTCACTTTATTTTACTTCTGCTCTTTTTTTTCTCAACACTTTTTTTTGTTGTTGTTTTATTTTTTACATTTTTTTGTTTAAAATAAATGCACTGTTTGGTTAAGGGCTGTAAGTAAGCATTTCACTGTAATGTCTGCACCTGTTGTGTTCGGCGCATGTGACCAATACAATTTGATTTGAAATACCACAGTGTGCAATCACAGCAGCAATATTTGTGACCAGTTGCCACAAGAAAAGGGCAACCAGTGAAGAACAAACACCATTGTAAATACAACCCATATTTATGTTTATTTATTTCCCTTTTCTACTTTATCTATTTGCACATCGTTACAACACTGTATATATACATAATATGACATTTGGAATGTCTTTATTCTTTTGGAACTTTTGTGAGTGTAATGTTTACTGTCAATTTTTATTGTTTATTTCACTTTTGTTTATTATCTACTTCACTTGCAATGTTAACATATGTCTCCCCCTGCACTAAAGCCCTTAAATTGAATTGAAGTGGAGAGAGAGAGAGAAAAAAACATAAGAATATACTTACTCACTCTTACAGCATGATTGATTGATTGCTCATTCGTCGCGTTGTGTTCCACAGTACTGTCCTGGAGCTTTAGACCCCAACAGCAAGTGTCCAGTCAAGGCTTGCAAGACATAGACACGCATAGTGTTGAGGAAACACCAGCCTACATGATCTGTTCCCTACCGCCTTACGAACGGACCCATGGGATAGAGGAGCATCCTGTACTCTAGAAAAACAAAAAAACACTGGAGAATTGTATTCTCTGTTTCAGTGTTCCAAATGGTACACCCGTACGAGTCAATGTGCGGGGGCACGGGTTTCGAGTTTTTTAGGTAATATTCATTGGGTAGATTAAAAGTGCAGGTAGATTAAGAAGTGCGCACCCAAAAAAAAAGGAGGGGGTGGGGGGCAATAAAAAAGTCCCGGGGCCCCTTTTATTAGCTGTTCGGGGATTTTTGGCTTGGGGGGAAGCTGTTAAGCCTTTGGCCCAAGATTTTGGCGCCCGGCTGTTTTCCGGCGAGCAGAGAAACGCCCCTTACTGGGGTGGCCGGAAATCTTTGAAAATTTTTAGGGGCCTTCCCTACCCCAGCCGGGTTGAGGCCATTCCCCCGGAAGCTTGGCCCCATGATGTACGGGCCGTACCACTAACCCCTGTAGGCCCGGTGGGCCGCGGGCCATACCAAATGAAGAAACCTAGGATGCCTTATGCGCTGTTAATTTTTTTGAGGTCTGGGCCCCATCCAAATTTTATCCCCTGGGGGAAATAGGCTTTGTCGTGCCCTCTGCACAACTGTCCTTGGTGTGCAGAGGTCCACGGTCCTCCCTTTTCCTGTAGTCCACA